GGGGATAGGACAGAAATCTACTTTAAAAAAGAAAGACAAATCATTACTCAATAGATATTGAAAGATAAAAACATTTTCTAAAAGCGACAGTCACATTTAATTAAATTTCCCCAAATGAAGGAAAAACATCGTCACAAATCATGGGAAGAGTAGGGGGAACAAACAGGGAAAACTAATATGAATTACATCAATATTTGGATTTCCTTCTTATATGAACACTTACAATTATTAAATGCTGCAACCTAACTTTCTCAGAGATACAAGTTGTAAAAACTTGATTCATCCTTTTCCTAGATACTTGATCCTTTCTTTAGGTAGGTCTGAGTTTGCCATTTAAAACAAGTCTTGCAACATTTTTTAGAAACAAAGCAAAATGTTCTGTAAATAGATGAACCATTATGCAGAGTAAATATGCCAGGAGGATTTCAAATGAAAAACCATGGGGACCGTAGGGACAGTACAAAGTGTCCAAGAAGAAATTAAAAAAAAAAAAATTGACAGTAAAATCATAAATCGTGTGCTTCTTGACATGAGAATCACCCCAAGCAAACAAACTTAAGGTTTGTGAGCACAGTGCAAGTTGCCACCTAATGCAAAGACAGGAACCAGTAAAGACTGCAAAGGAATGATTTCAGTTGAAGAAATTTCTGTGAACACAGGCAAAACTAGACTGTCGGAGCCCACTTTCTTTCCCTCAAATAAAATGTACCAAGGTTATGCCTGCAAAGCACATTTCTCTCATTCCATATAGCTTCCTTTGATCCAGGCATTATTGAATTATTCTGAGAGGTACAACCTGAAGAAATATCATTATGGAATAAAATAATTTCAAAGTTGAAAAGGGCCTCCGAATTTCTCTAATTGAGTAGTTCTTATTCTCTTTGGGGTCACAGACTTCTCCTCTGAGAAATGATGAAAACTATACATTCACTCCTCAGCAATGGACAGAAGGCACATGAAGGCACAATTCAGAGTTCCATGTACAAGCATTTGAAGTTTATGAGTCCTAGATTAAGAACTATTGATCATGTCCAGCTTCTTCATTTTAAAAATCAGGAAAGAGAATCCCAAAAAGGTTTGGTGATTTGTCCAAGGTCACACATCCAGGTAGTAATAGAGCTGGTATTCAAGCAACCCAGTATTCCTGACTTCCATCAAGATGCTTTGCCCCACCATTCTTTAGAGAAAGGCTGTGATTACTTGTATCCATAAAACTCAACAGTCACCCATCTTGCTGTTTGAATTAGTGAAATTAATTAGGATAGGAACACTCAGTTTCTTTACAAATATGAAAAAAACAGCACTATTAGCATTATGGCTTACGCAGTTCTGGTACTTCTATGCAAATGAATCTAATGTAGGATGCTAGTTGAAAACATTAAGGTTCCTACACCCCGTCTCCACAAGTTGAGATTCAGTACTTCTGTAGTGGTGCCCTTACAGCTGTACCCTAAATAAGTCCCTAAGAGACTGTGATTGGCTGGTCCTCAAATGTTATCCTACAAAGTCTGGTTTAAAGTAGTGGCTTTCAAACACTTTTTTTTCATATGTTCGATTCTTTTTTCAAGGCAAGTATCATTTGGACACCTAGATATATAAAGAAAGGCCAAGTGGTCTGGTGGGCTTTAGAAGCCAGTTTGAAAACCAGGTCCAGAAAAGACAGCCCTGGTAATGGGACCAGGAGCTGGGTTTCACCACTCTTGGGACTTGGTTTCCTTATTTATAAAATAATTTGTTTAGATTTTCTCTAAATTCCCTTCCAGCTCCAGTATCCTATGATCCTGCAAACACCATTCCTACTACTACCACTATAAATAGCTAAGATTTGGCAGGCACCTACTATATTCCAGGCACTGTTCTATTAACTTGTTTAATCCTCATAATCACTCTATAAAGTTAAGTACTATTAATACCTCTGTTATACTGATGAGACACAAAGATGTTATGTGACAATAACTGATAAAAATTTATAAATATTTTCTCTTATTTAATCTATACCGCAAAATTGGGAAGTAACTGAGATTTAGAAAGGTCATTACTTATCCAAGGTCAAAGAGCTGGGATTTAAACTCAGGTCTACCAGATTCCAAAATCCATTCTTTTAACCAAAAAATTTGCACAGGTTAGGCCCTGTACTATGCCATAAAATCTTTTTAATGGGGTCCATTTGTGTGTTGTTAGTGATATGCATATTTGTATTTTTATGGAGATGGTTTACCTCCCAAACTAGATTTTAAATGCTCTGATCTCAGGCATTTTTTTATACTTTTATATTTCCTACTTTATGAAATACAGGCTGTGAATTGTCTAAGTCTTATTTATTCAATTAGAAGTGACATTCCTATGTTTTATTAACTTGACTTTTTTCCAAGTGGTTTATTAAAAAATACAATCCAAAGAAAATACACTAATTTCACTGAAGCAACTCCTCAAATTTAATTTTATTCCCCTGAGTCAATTTTTGGAAGGAGGAAAAACCCTTATTTTCAGCTTAATGATTTGACATTTGCCCTTGGAGTGATGAATTATATTTTATTGTCAATATTAACAAATATCCCTTTCCTGGCACTTCTCTTCTTTCTCATCTAATTAATGCTTCTTGCCATTTCTCATTGTATCAATCGATAGGTAACTAGCTTAGAATAAGCAGATGGGTAAAGACAAGAATAGAAAATCTTGGAAGGTGCTTATAATACCTACTTATACCACTTGAAAATAACTGTTTGACATTTCACAGGTAGTAGTACTTATTAAGTAGTATTCCTTAAACACTTAACAAATAATAATGCCTCCAAGTAATTTTTCTTAAGTACCATGTTAATCTTGAGGATGCTCAGCCTGTGGTCAGACACAGCATTATCTTCCAACTTTGCTTCATTGCCCACATAGTTGAAATTTTCTCCCTAGGACCAGTGCGGGTCTCCCCAGCTCATTCTCAGCTCCTCCCATGGTTAAACAAGCAATTCCATGAGAGCTGTAATTTCCTGATGATCTACTTTAAACATATTTTGGAGATTTGTATAAACCTCACATCCTTATAAATCTATACAACATAGGTATAACTTGTCTAGTAAGAATTGAGATTAAATTAGGGTCAAGATTTTTTAGTCTCTAAACTTTGACAGAATAGACCCTCTAGAACAATGATTCTCAAACCTTCTTTCAGAAATTTGTTAAAAATGTAGATGCCTGGAGCCCTGTCTCAGATGTATCAAAGCAGTTTCTTGGTGTGGGGCCCAGGCACCTACGCTTTTAATGAGCAGCACAGGTGATTACGATGCTCATCAACATGAAGCACATCATTTCTTTACTCACCTGACAAACACTTAATGAACGCCTACTACTAATATACACAAAATTTAGACTATAAATACATACAGTGTTTTTAGTATTGTTTCTTAGGTCCCAAACTAATAAGCAACTTGAGAAAACAGGATCATGATCTAATGTCTGTAAAAAATACTTGCCCCTCACCCCCACCCCTATATACAACACCTAGCTGAGTATACAGTAGGCAAATATTGCATTGCTTTGCTCAGCAGTCCCTTAAGTAAGACATGTTGATACATCTTCAGCTGCTACATTAAAGAATGCTTTTAAACCTAGACTCTCAGGGTGTCCTAAGGAATCAGCATAAATTGTGTGTGTGCGTGTGTGTGTGTGTGTATGTGTGTGTGTTTCTAATTCTGTATTGAGGCTAAGCTAGCAAGACTTAAACCACAGCATTAAACTTCTGCTTTGAAGTTCTGTTATGAACCCAAAATAAAACATACACACCAGGAAATATATAGATAAGTATATATATCAAGAGCAGGGAAAATAAATAGAGCCCTCTCCACTCCATTTCCTATTATCTCAACAAGTACACTTTTCTTTCTTTTCTCCATATTATAACCCCCATTTCTTCCCTATTTTGACATCACCTCTGTTCTCTAGTCCAGTGGTCCCCAAAATTTTTGGCACCAGGGACCGGTTTCATGGAAGACAAATTTTCCAAGGACAGGAGAGCTGGGGAAAGGGGGGCGGCAGAGCTCAGGTGGTGATGCCAGGTATGATGGGAATGGGGAGGGGACATGTTGTGAATACAGATGAAGCTTCACTGGCTCACTACTGCTCACCTCCTGCTGTGTACCACTCCCCCTTCCTAAGTTTCATGGAAGACAATTTTTCCAGGGACCACGGGGGCTGGGGACTGCAGTCTAGTCAATATTCAAATAACTGAGTGTTACCTAACTGCCTATTTTGAATCAGGAACTTACAAAAGTGCTTCTCAAACTTTGTTCATCCTGAAATCACACACAGTACAAATGAGCACATATAATCTCCCCTAGATTGTGAGAATTTGCAAGGATGCATTCCAGATGTGTTATGCCCTCTCTGTGGTTTGCATGTTGAGAGAAAGCATCTGGAGCAGCCTGGCATGGTGCTGGGAGTGACTAAGGGTCACACTAGTGCAAACAATTTTTGCTGAAAGAAGAATCCGAATGTGGCAAATAGGGGAGATGAGTCTGTCCAACATTTGGGCAACAAATTATTCCTCCAACTGTGTTTGCTGAGGAAGTGAACACTCCCGACTCAGTCTTCATGCTGATGGAAAGGGGAGAATGGCCACCTAGATCTTTTGTTAGGTTTGTTAGGGAAAGTAGGGAGGCGTGTGGAGGGGAAACAGAACACGCTGGGGAACCCACTAAAGAGATAAAGAGGAACAAGCTGGTGCTGGCCCATCAGCACACAGCAAACTCTCCAGGGTCCTTCACTGCCTGTGAAAGAGGGGAAAACACCAGCAAAGAAACAGTCACTGCAGTGGAGTGCAATGCAACGGGCCGATTTTACCAACAAATTCTCCGTGACCTTAAATATCTCTACAAACTCTTTACAATAACTCCATGATTCCTTTACTTGTCTTAGAAAAACAGTAATTTGGGGCAATAAAAATCTAAATCTTTGATCAAAAAGCACAACAAACAGAGTCACAGCTACAGAAAAACATCCTTACTTACCAATTTTGTAACGTCTTTTACATTATTAGTCACACGATTTCCGCAGATCCCTTTGGTCTTGACGAAAGGATTAAATAGAAGCAGTTGAAGATAAATGCAAGTGATAATCCAAGTCTAAATGAAAACAGAAAAATTGCTCAATGACCATCAGTTAATATCCATAATCACTCAAGCTATTAATCCCTTATGCTTTGATTTGGAAAAGGCTGTCTACTATGTTTAAAAATAAAAAGCAACTGGCTTGAACACAATTAAGTGCTAAGCATTCAAACTATGCTTACCAGATTTTTTAAAAAAATTCTTAAAATTAGGTTTGAATTACTTTTTCAGTGACATTATTGTTAACTTCCGTCAAAAGCTTTCTACAGCCCATTTTCTAATAGCAATCGGGAATAAACATGTAGCAACGTGTGAAGGACTTATCACTTAGGGTGTCTTCTAAAAACCAGGGAATGCATAAAATTCATACCTTAAGGCACCAAGAGAAACTTTTTCTTTCTACTTTAAATGTAGACTGTTTGGCAAGTAGCAGCATAACCCCTGAGCAGTGCTTTAATCCAACAGTCTACAAAACGACACTAAGTTAAAATGAGACAGAGAGGTATATTTTTAGATCTAAGAATTTAACCTAATTTGTGAGACATCAAATGACTTAATGTTTTGAAGCACAGCTTTTTTTGCCATTTAATAAGGAAAATATTTCTTTAGCCAATAGGAAGACATTCTCGAACCCTAGCGGAATTCTCTCTCTCTCTCTCTCTCTCTCTCTCTCTCTCTCTCTCTTTCTCTCTCTCTCTCATACACACTCTCACCCTTGTTAGAAAATAACACTTTCCACCAGGTATTGTGGTTATTTTTATGAATCATTTACTTTTCCTTATTATATTAATACTATAATTTAGAGTTTTAAGAACTTGGGCATCTGATTTACTTGTATCTTTACAACACATAACACAGTGCCTTGCCTATAAAAAACCCTTAATAAATATTTGCTGGATGAATTAGTGGCCAAGGTGAAAATACATTCTAATGCTCTAATTCAATAACCATTTACTGAGCATGTATTATGAGACAGAGACAGTGCCAGTCACTAGGGAAACAAAGACGATGAAGATGCCCTTGATACTCAGAGGCAGGTAAGTAACTAACACCCACATCATGTGGTGAATGCTCTGGGAACATAGAGGAGGAAGCAATTAATCAATTAAACTTAAGGGGGTAGAACCTATAGCAGGAAGACAGTGCCAAAAAAAAACCTGAGAGAAAAATGTGACTCTGGCTGGATTTCGGAGGACAAGGAAGAGTTTGTAGGAGTTGACATAGAAAGGATGAGCATTCCAGAAAAAATAAACAACACAACAAAAGCATGCTGATGTGAAGATTTCTCATATGTGAGATTTCTTTTATGAGCTAAATTCTTCTATAAAATCTTAAAATTACACAAAAGCCCAGATGCACATGGCTAGAAATCTTTCCTATTTATGTAGCTAGCCATATGTTAAAAGGCACTAGATTATTACTTTGAATTGATATCTGTATGCCAACTAGATATTATACTGGACTAAATGATGATTATCATTTGCTGAAATTTCTAAGACTACAATGCTACCTTCATGGATATAGTAACTTATAAAGAAAATTAAAACCCTTTGTTCCCTTACCATGGTGGTCTACCTCATCAGCAATCCTGTATAATTTTATTTAAGGCTACTTTGAGCATTGTGGGATCACATTCTTCATAGTATTGTCTCCCTTGGACCACAGTGAAGACTAAATTGTGTAAATAATTTCTATAAGAGAAATTCTCTTTTTGGACAATCCCAACATACAAAATCTCCCCTTATAACAAAGTCTTCCTTTACATGTATAAATATAATTTATTAAACCCAGCCTTCTTTCATATTGTCATTGCTAAGACTTGACCTCCCTTGAAATGTATTAATATTTTCCCAAGGCCCTCTTTCCTGATATGATTTGGGAACTCTCTCTAAGGACCTCTGTAATGGACCAATCTCACCAATAACCATATTCATATTCTCAGCTGTAAGAAATCTAAAGGCAGAAATTCTGTTACTGGTCATCACTGTACCTTATACCTGGCATTGAATTAACACTAAAGAAACATTTGTTCACTCATTCATTCAACAGACATTTATTGAACATCTTTATTATATGTCAGGTATTGTTCCAGATGCTAGGGTTATACAAGGAACAGAAAAACAAAAATTCCTGCCCTCATAAAGCTTAACTTCTAGTGAGGCAAAGACCAACCATATTCAACAAACATAAGTAACTAGGGTATACAGAATGTCAAAAGGTGTTAAGGGCTACAGCAGGAGTTTGAGGCTGCAATAGCCTATGATCACTGCACTCCAGCCAGGGTGTCAGCAAGACTTCATCTCCACAAAAAGAAAAAGCACAGAACAAGGTAAAGGAGCCTGGAAACCTAGTGTCTACTCTGCTCTGCTGGCAGCAGTGATCTTGGTTCAGATTGACAGTTACACTCATGAGTCACAAGAGGCTTCATCTAGCACTAAATGTACTACTGAGCTTTAAGAATATAGGACAGGTAACAAAAGAGCAGGTACAGCACCAGCAGAGCAGACATCTCACGACACCAAGGCCATCTCTAATGTCAATCACTGCACACTTGGGGTGTAGGTGGCAATGACAGATGACATTGAGTAGTCAGGACCTCTCCTTCGGCTTATACCTTGCTAGCTGAGTAGCCCTTTCAGGGACATGTCATGAGCTTCTATTCATTTTCCAGAGCAACTACCCCCCACCCACCCCAGTGCCAGTCTCAACAATAAAGTACATTATCAATGCTTGTTCTGCTACCTAGTAACTTCAGCTGGATTCTCTTGTAGGAACTATAGTGTACCTCTGTAAGTTTCCTGAGTTCTTGCTGCAAGGAGGATTATAGGGAAGGTCAAATCCCAGGCATCTGTGAGTCTAGAGAAAAGCCATAGAGTGAACCATTACTCCTTTCTTTCCAGATGGCAGTATGTGTGGAAGCAGCTTGAAATTTTTAACAGGGTGATATTTGATGAGTGCTTCACTGAGAAGGCAACATTTTACCAAAGATTGGACAGAGCTAAGGGAGTGATCCATGCAGGTGTCTGTAGGAAATGTATTGTGTATTGAGAGGAAAGCTGGTGCCAATGCCCTAAGGTCTATTTAAGGAATCTCTCTCTCTCTCTCTTTTTTTTTTTAAGACACAGCATGCGTAAACCAGGGAGCAGTAGAAGATGATGATGTCAGAGACAGAATGAAGAGGCCAGATCATGTAGGATATTGAAGCCCATTGTCCAGACATTGACTTTTACTGTGAATAAAATGGGGTTCGTTGCAGGATTTTGAGGGGAGGAGGGATAGGAACATATTTCAAAATAAAAAAATAAAATATAATAGGATCACTATGATTGTTATAATGAAAACAGACTTTAGGGTAAAAACAGGTAGAAAAAGAAACAGAAGGCCCTTGCTATCATCCAATCAAGAAAGGGTTATATCAGTGCACTGACCGGAAGTGGTTAGATTCTGGATATCTTCTGAAGGTGGAGCCAAGAAGATTTCCTGACAGTCGTACTGTGATTTGAGAGAAAGAGTCCAAGATGACTATGGGAATTATGGTCTGAACAACTGGAAGGATGGTTTTCACCAACTGATGCAGGGAAGAATGGGGGTGGAGAGGTCTGGAGGTGGCAGGGCAGATCAGCAGTTAACTTTGAGTATGTCAAGTTTGGAATGTCTTTGAGATATTCCAGTGATGATACCAGGTCAGGAAATTTAAATCTGGATTTAGGGTTTAGGAGGGAAGTTTGGGCTGAATATATAAATATGATACCCTTCCATATACAAATGGGATTTTAAGCAAGAGTGGATGAGGTCACCAAGGGAGTGAGCATATGTAGAAAAAAGACCAAAGCACTCAGCAATCCTATGGTGCTCTAATGCTAAGAGATCCAGCAGAAGAGTTAGAACCCTCAGGATCTGAGAGGGAGAAGCCAAAGGATCATAAGGAAGCCAAGTAAAAAAAAAATACTTTAAGGAGAACAGGGTCAAACTATATCACATGCTGGTAATAAAAACAGGTCAGGTAAGACCAGAAATGAGAATTGTCCACTGGTTTAGCAACACGGAGGTCACTGATGACATTACAAGAGCATTTTTTTATTGAAGTGGTATGAGAGAAAGCCAGTCTAGAGTGGATTTAAGAAAGCAAGAGGAGAAAATAGAAACCGTGAGTATAGACAGCTCTTCTGAAGAGTCTTCCTTCCAAGAAGAGCAAATAAATAAACAAACACACACACACACACACACACACACACACACACACAATGGGGTGGTAGTTAGCAAGGGATTGGGAGTAAAGAGAGTTTTCTTTGTAAGAGGGTAGAGATACCAGGACGTCTGTGTGCCTGTGGGGGTCGTCCAGGAGGGAGCAGCTGGCAATGTAGGTCAGAAGAGAGGAAACCTTGAGCAACAGCCTGGAGCAGAGAAGAAGGGAGGGGCGTGATCCAGTTTTCAAGTAGAGGATCTGGCTTTAAACAGGAATATCAACATTTCATCAGTACTATAAGGTAGGATATTGGAATGTGACTGTAGATGCCGTTTTGTTTTTTCCCTTGGAACAATCTAGTGCACATAGCATAAATTTATTGAACATTTACTGTGTAGCAAGCATCTTGAATATCTAATAACAGAAAAAATTTAACTTTCATAGATCCTGATTTTATCTTATTTTATTTATTTATTTATTTATTTATTTATTTTTGAGACAGAGTCTCACTCTGTTGCCCGGGCTAGAGCGCCGTGGCATCAGTCTAGCTCACAGCAACCTCAAACTCCTGGGCTCAAGCAATCCTTCTGCCTCAGCCTCCCGAGTAGTTGGGACTACAGGCGTGCGCCACCATGCCCAGCTAATTTTTTCTATATATATTTTTAGTTGTCCAGATAATTTCTTTCTACTTTTAGTAGAGACGGGGTCTCGCTCTTGCTCAGGCTGGTCTCGAACTCCTGACCTTGAGCGATCCACCTGCCTCGGCCTCCCAGAGTGCTAGGATTACAGGCGTGAGCCACCGCGCCCGCCTATCCTGATTTTAAAGATA